GGTCTTCAAGAGGAGGTTAGATAACCATCTAGCTGGGGTCATCTAGACCCAGCACTCTTTCCTGCCTAGGCAGGGGGTCGGACTCGATGTTCTGTTGAGGTCCCTTCTGACCCTAGCATCTATGAATCAATGTAAAGTACAACCCAAATCCAGTTCCGCTGCTATGTGGTCATGGCTGTGTTCCGCACCACTTTGCTCTATGGGCTTGTCAGCTTCTTGCTGCGCCCTTGCAGCTTTACTAGGGGCCTTTAGTGTGGCTCCGCCCCCTTATCTGCAACCCTAGGCCTCTACACCAATGGCTGCTTTGCAGCCTGGCTTGGCCCTAAATTTCTGCCCTTTTGCTGGGGCCTCTCTGCTTAGGCCTCCCAGCTTCCTACCAGTCGCCAACTTCTCTCTCTTTCCTTTGGCCTGGGGCCAGGTTTCTGCCCCGCCTTGTTCGGCAGTGCTCTGTGGATCCATTCTCTGTGCTTCCCCGTAGAGTACCTGTCTGGCCGAATACAGCCCGCTTCAACTGTGCTCTGCATTGCTTCCTGCTTCGCAGCCAGGCTCGGTAGCCTCTCTGGGACTCTTCTGGGGCTTTGCCTTTGCATGCCCTGAGAGAGGCACTCCAGCAGCCTGGCTTTCCTCATGGGGCTTGCGTGGCTTCCCGATTGGTCTCAGCCTCTCTGGGACCCTTGAAACTGACTAGGTCCTACCATTTTCAAAGCTACTAATAGCAGACTTTGAACAGGCAACAAATTGGGATGGGCATTGGTATCCAGGTATGTGAATTATGCAGTTCTCTGGTATTCAGGTAAGTGGAGCATGCTGTACATTACAATTGATTGTTTGGTGTACTCATATTTTTTCATATTCAGTACAGAACAGATTTCTGTGCTGACCAGATGTTGCACAATGTTATTGTGGAGGTTGCTGGCAGAAGCTGGAGGCTTGGGTAAGTAGGCAGGGGACATTTGGGATTTTTGAAAGTCACAGTGATGCAAGATGTGGTTTGAGATTGTGGGATAAGCATGGCTTGCTAGCTATTTCAGCTGTGCTGCCACTTAAATTGCTAGGGTGACAGGGCCCTGGCTGAGTCGCCAACCTGCTGGCAGGTGGTTGGCGTGAGCCTGAAGAAGAAAGGCACATGACCCCACTTAAGGGGTCGCCTGCTTGGCTGCTCTGGATCAGCAGGCACAGAGATCCCAGACAAGGTGCCTTGGACTGAATTAATTACCCCAGTAAAGGGAGGTGCTTGGCTAACACAGAGGCACCAATTCCCTGCCTGAGCAATTTAAGCTTAATGATCTGTTTCTGTTGCAATCCTTTGGAGCTGAGGCATAGGTCACATCCTAAGCAGGCTTGATCTTCTTGTAGCACCTGGAAGGAAAGGAACTAAGTGGAGACCCTGCTTACCATCAAGTTTCCACAGAAGCCCAAAGCAGACTCAACTTCACTAAGTCCATCGAGTGACCACAGGTACCACCTCCCCATCACTGAATATTCATATTTTAGAAATAGCAGGTCATGGTAGGTGAGAAGAGGAAGGTGCATTGCAAGCGGGTAAACCGGGTATGCACATCGCCCATCGGCAGCTTTTTCCAGTTGTGAGCCTGCCACAGCCATCTTTTAAGTTCCAGTGTCAATAGCCCTTTCAGATGAATGGGGAAGCTTCCCTTTCTCAGGACTGTTGTTTTCATGCTGTTTAAACCCTCAGGAATACTTCAGTGCACCAAATGACTGGCACGTTCATGAGGACAAAGAGCAAATATTACTATTAAAACACATACATCAGCACAATGACTGCTACCATTATGTGTTACAGTCTTGTATGCATTTATACTCTTATTTATTCTCGGTTCAACTAGGCAAGGAATCATTTACCATATGTTTGCAGAGTGCCCAGCACAATGGGCCTATGAGACACATTTGGGCTTATAGCCACCCCTCCTCCACAGCAGGATAGCTAATGATAATAGATTCTGGAACATAACTCTACAGCAAATTCCTTTGCCCTGTAATCACAGTACACGCAGGGCCCTGATAATATTTAGCTGAGTATTTCGGAAATAGTTTTGATCCTAGGCAATCCTGAGTAGGGTCAAGTGCCAAGGGAGTGTAATTTAGATCCTTTTGTTTTAAGTACACTATCTGAGCTAGGAACTTTGTGCCTGCAAACAGTATCTCATAAGCTGTCAGGAATCATCTGGTGACTTGACCTACTTCAAACACTTGGGAACAGGTTTTCCTCTACCAAATTTCAGATGTACTAGTATTTTTTCTGTACCATACTGGACTGAAAATCCTGTGAGATGTTACTGGTTATTATTTAGAACTAGCCAATTGCATGTCAAGAATGATGGGGGGG